TTGCTATAATTCAACTTCTTTTTAATTTTAATTCAAATAAAATTTTATCCCTTTTTAAGACTTTGTATTATCTTATTTTAAGTTGTAATTTAAATTCTAATCCTACTTTCTCGAACAAGTTTAATTCTGCAATTTAGATACAATCTTTGTCAAATAGAATTTTCTATACAATGTTCTCTGCACTAGCTACCCAAATCTCTCTTCGAACATTAGGTTTAACGGGATGTCTACTAATGTAAGACTTTGATATGGAATACGGTTACGTCTTCCACTTTAAATTTAGTTTTATCTTTTTTACAAAATTAAACTCATTAAAATAGATTAAAAAATATCATGTAATACGATAGATGAATCAAATTTTATATTTTAATTATATTGAAAAGTATCTCGTTATATTTTCCATTTATGTATCATTGAATTGTATATAAAGTACCTTTAAAAATTTTAAGTGCATAAACACGTGCGTGGTGAAAAAATTCTTTTGCCGAACGATACATCACGTAATGCAATACGATAAGTAGAGTGGTATTAGCGGATAAAATAAGAACTTTTGCAAAAGTTTAATGGCGTAATGCCTACTTCTTCTTCGTCCTTTCTTGTTGCTCTTTTTCCTTTTTCGTTGCAAACCCATCCCATCGACTTTTACAAATGTCCTGAAAAGTTGAAAATATAACTTCACCAGACTCGGAATGGGGAATCTCAGCCTACGATACTATTCGCTCTTCCGGTCTCTATTTTTCTTCTATCTTTCTCTGCGCTCTTCAGTAAGTATTCTGGAAGTTGAAATATTACCACGGCGGAAGAAGGTAACGTCTAAACGATTTGGCGACTCGCCAGATCTGGGCTTTCCCGATTACGTCTGAGTGAACGTAATCTTGCGTAGATACCAACAACTAGAGCGAACTTGGCGCGGTCGACTCCGCAAGAAATGTGCATAATGAAAAAGAAAGATTTACGTAGAAAGAGTTGCGCGTTATACTTCTTTTGGTAACGGTCCGCTCGTCCTCAACGAGAATTGGTCATCGTTCACCTTCCGTGTGACATAAGTATGCCATTTAACTACTATTTCATTATATTTAATTATTTGCTTATTATTCGTCACGTGTTTGCAATTATTTCTGATTCTAACACAAAATAACAAATTAATTCGTAGTTCGATTTAGTTTTATTTCTTGCATAAATAATTTTTTTCTGGAAAAATGATCGATGGAACTTTAAGAATATAGACTTTTTTTTATTTTCTTTAATAAATATGTAATTGATACTTATATGCGTGGAAACGTCTGTGAGTATTATACTTCGTCGGCGATAATCATGATAATGGAATTGTCGGCGTCGTTCTTGCGGCTGAGAGGTCGTCACCGCGAAAATTTATTATGCAGGCCGACCTATGTACGTACGATCTCGCGTATGTATGTATATGTCATTCGACGGTAACGGCGACGTTCAACTCAATTAATGCCACGCTAATTGGCGTCCTGGTCGTTCCGGTCTGCTCGGTAATTTCATTTCGCCGCGGCATCGCACGGCGAACATTTTCGCCTAAGCGACTTTCCGACGAACCAGCTTACATGCTGGCTTACCCCGATCGACAGTAATGCCGTAAATTGTACCCTTCTTTACGACTATCTACTGTTTTTTTTTATCAGAAATATTTGTTTAATCATCTCACATTTGTTAGATAATAAAGTGCCTCCTTATCCTTCCTGCAAATTAAACCGAACTTGTTCTACTTGCCTGGCTGGAATTGCTGTCTCTTTGTCAAGAGAGAGTACGAAACTGCCGTACAAGAAGTCGTTTCACTCATCGCAAAGCGTTTTTCTTTGTTGATCGTATACGTACGATGGCGCGAGCAGTCGGTGGTGCGCAAATCCTTGGAAAAGACGTCCGCTGAAGTTTAATGGAGTATCGATGACCGTGCAGGTAGTGAAGAAGCGGAGGGGCCGAAGTGCCGTCTGGTCGATGTGTCGGTCGATTCGCTTGAGAGAGGAAGAGAGGTATCGAGGAGTCATCGACGTCGTCTACGAAGCAGATGCTTCGAACTCGATTGAAGGTGCTGATAAATTGAATAGAGAGATCTACGGCATTCTGGGAAGAGGGATCGTGTGGCAGTGCTCGTACACAGACTCGTATACAGATTTCCGCCTTTCGTCCATTATTACTTGTTAGATGTCGTGATAAAGAGCGCTTCCTTATCATAAATGTTTGCTAAGTATGATACTTCGACCTGCGATTTGAGCTGCCATAACTGGTCTCGTGATATCATTGACGTGTCATATCTTTCGAATCGACTTTATGACGAATGCGAACATTTAAAATTTTTACAATTACGTTGAATCCTGAAAAACGAACAATTTTTTTGTTTTAATCGTACCGTGAACGTGCGCGACAAAAAGTTTTTCAGAATAAAATTGTTCATAATTTTAGAGGAAATTCAAATCTGATTAAGGAGTATAAAGAATATAAGGATATAAAGGTATTAAATCTAATTAATTCCGATACTCGCATGACGCATTATCTTATACGGCATACTCGATGGCGTATCGCGCGTTAATAAGCGGTTGTCGCACGAAATTTATGGGTCGCGTCATTTCCATTAATTCTCTTCGATTTTAGACGAGAGGGCGACGGCGGCGGCGGATGGAGGCGAGGTGTCGATGGCAGCGTGCGGTATAGGAGAGCGGCAATGAGGCTGCGAGGTCATTGTGAGTGTAATTGTAAAACGCGCGCACGAGCTCGCATCGCGTTGCGTTGCGTTGCGTTGCGTTGCGTTGCGTTGCGTTGCGTTGCGTTGCGTTGCGTGGCGTTGCGTTGCGTTGCGTGGCGTCGCGTCGCGTCGCGTCGCGTCGCGTTGCGTCGCGTTGCGTCGCGTTGCGTCGCGTTGCGTTGCGGGGGTCACCTGTGAATTACGACGCGGCTGTGATTCCGCTGTTTCCCCATTTTCGGATGCAGCATCAATTTATTATACGCCGAGTGAAATAGAATGTCGGTGAAAAATTTTCTGACCGCCGAATTCATAGCGATATAAAGTCGCGTAAAAGCTTTCACGGCAACGATGGACACGTTGCGCGCGTACACGTTCGCGTAGCCAAAATGTAGATGTAACGTAGTGCACGGCATGTGCGGTGTATTTCGGATGAATATTACCTGGAATAGATATAAAACATGATAAAGAAATAAGATTTATTTTGAACGTGTATCTTGTAAAGATGTTGTGTCAAAAATATAAAACAATCGTAAACGGGCATAATAAGAGAATTAATATGGGTAAAAAATGACCATAAAATGATAATAATTTAAAACCTTATTGTTTTTTTCTTTTAAATAATGGATATCGTATTTATTTTAAATGGCAAGCTCAGAGAATTGTCTTGTCAGTTTTGTGGAAAATTTATGTAACGTGTAATATATAATTATCGGATTTGCATTAATTAATTATTGTGTATTAAGTAAACTTTATATGTAATAATTTATGGAAAAAGAGTTTAAATATCAATTTAAATATGATTGTGTAAATACGAGGAATATAATAACTGTTTGACATAGTTTCGATATTCCGAAAGAAAATATGATACTTCTCCTATTAAGTTTGAATCAGGTTGTAAATTAGATATCGAGCTAATTACGAACTACAGATTATAATTCGGTCAGTCAAATAATCTTAATTTTAATTTTTTTGTTTTGATTGGTCGAACTTTGATCTTTACGGTTTGCAATCCTCAATTCATGGTCTGACGCATGAATTTTATCACATTTTGATTGACACAGATTGTTGATAAAATATTTTATCCCGAAATGATTTTCATCGGATTTTTATCGGATTGCATGGGTGTTTTTATGCCATCTCAATGTGCGATAAATGATCTGTGCACGCGTGCAAATTATTACATTGAGAATTATCACGAGCTATTTAATCATAAAAAGAATATCTAAAATTTCAATAATTTTACATGCATTTGCAACATAAAGTATAAGAATATATTGATTTTTTTATAATTTATTAATATTTGATTTGTGCCATGTATTGCATAATTGGTCAAGATTTATTGAATCAATATCATTATATAACGTGAACATCAAACAAACGTTTTAATTATAATTATTACTAGTGTGTAATTCATATTTGAATACTTAACGAAGCGTATCTAGCCAGATCATCTTCTGCACGTATTCTATTTAAATTTTTTCCACGCTGACAATTTTTTTTTCAAATTTTTATGAAAGTCATTTAGATGAATTGGATCATCTTTTCCAATTCGTTCATGCTCATTGGAAAAAAGGTTAATCCGTTATAAGATTAACAAAATTGCTTGTCGATAAAAAATTTGTGTAGATTTTTATAACGTAGAATTTTATAACGTAAAATTTTATAACTATTACATGAACGTTCTACGGTTTAGCCGTATACACTAGTAGAATCTATCGGCAGGTTTTGGAACGAAAGGAATTTACCCAAAAAAGTTTCCTCGTGTGTGTACATGTATAGCGAAAATAATTTTTATTACGAATCGGAATTCTCTCTGTTATTTTTTAGATAAAGTACTTCACGTTTTCAAAATCTGGAGAGATACAATCAATATTAATCATCTTTTATGCATGCGCACACTTCAGAATTAACTATTTATATAACTGGCTTGTCTCCAATCGACATAATAGAAGAGAAGTAGAATCTAGATGTGGCGACGCCGCGTCGTCCGTACTTTTTTGCACGACGCGTTCGAGGGAATCGCTGGATAAGTCTTTTGAGATTTATATTCGATGTGCCTAGCATTGCTGAGATCGGTTTGGCATTTCCTTGGAAGCCGCTTACTTGATTTATCACGGTGACCTTATTACTGTCCGTTCCAAGGTTTCGCGATACTTTGTCCGATCTTTTCTTTATACAACGGTATCAATGAAATTACTTCTCTTAGCAATGACCTATAGTACAGTACAAAAAAAGGCAATATATTTTTCATTAGTGTGTAAACTGCAGCAAAGGATATTAATTGTGAACATACCGTAATATTGGCCACTTCGCCGTATTGCAATCTTGTTCTAATCTCGTTATAGAATTATATAACGAGCTCAGGTATCTTTATTAGATTCACTGTAACGGAAAAAGACAGAATTCAGTGTATGCATTACAAGTAGCCGACGGGTCCTTGAGGTAATAACGTGTTAATCGCGAGAATAAACGACCTCTGAGCGGTTAGCGGTAAATTTCTGTTCAAAATTACAGAACGCTAACCGTACATATCTGTGACATCGCGTTGAGGTGGTGAAAATCCGTTTAACGTAAATTTACGGAGCGTATTATCACGGTAGCCAGTTTTATCACGTAGAGAAAGAGGAAGGAGTGGGGCTAACTGGGGCTTTGAAAAAGTCGAGAAAGAAGCCATAGTAGCTACTTTGGGATGAGGAAAATACAACGTGCCGTGCAAGAACCCTTTAGTGCAACGACCTAGGGCAGAATGAGGCTATGGGCAAAAAGTAATGGCGAGTAGATAGTTACGCAAGCATGGGACGTTTATTATGTCGCTTAAATTCCGAGGAAACCCGTATCGTTCAAGTCGTTAATATTTCATTAGACCAACCCACCACCTTTTTCTCGGCCGTGTTGCCGTGAGTTAATAACGAATTCCGCGTTCATTGCCTATATACACCATGCTCCGTTATGGCTGCTTATGTATTTTCGCCGGTTAATTTTACTTACTTGGATATAACCTAATAATCTAATAATTTTATCTATAAACTGTACCGATAGAATTATTTTATCTTACTTTTTTTATATTACTTTATTTTAATTTTTTTTATATTATTTTTCCGATTCTAACATCATTCTTATTTAACAAACTGTTAATAATTTTATTATTAGTGACTTTGTTCTGATGTAAAAAGACAGATTTTCAAATGTTCAAATCGGTATCTTTTCATGTACAGATTGACATTAATTTTCTCTCTTTTGAATATAATCATTTACATACTTGTTTCAAATTTATAAATGGTTTTTACAACCTAATATTTCAATATCTACAAAGTTAAGTCTGTATCACGATATATTTTTCCAATAAATGCATCATTCCATTGTATATATCTTGATATTATCGCTATTTATCTGTCCCTTTCTGAAAAGAGTAGACAGCTGGAAGAAACTCGCGACAGCCGCGTTATTATCGATATTTAAATTCCATCTTCTCTCTTATTCTCGCCAACGTTTGTTCAAACAATATACGCTTTAATAAGATAGATTCGATTTCATCGAGAAGATAAAGTAAATTTGATCAGGTTATATTAAATATCTCGATCAATTTCGAGAATCAATACGAAACGAAAGATTTTCCATGAATGCGTTTACGTTGAGCATTCATTCAGTTTGACGAATGTTTATCGTAATTTCGATCTGCAATTTTGTATCAATGACAACATTTCATTTTAATTACGTTCCGTGGAGTTTTCGCAGAGGATACTTCTAGATGCGCGCGGACCGAGTTAGCCTACTTTTGATGTTCTATACGGTTAGCTGGATCACGGATCGGACTCAGAAACAGGTGCACATCCTCCGAACGAAGAAGTGAACTTACGGAGGGGCAGTCTCATTTATAACTTTTAATTGAGTACGAAAGTTTGTGGCCGAATAGGACCGATCGTCGTAAAGTAGCGCATTGCTCGCCGACTCGTTCCGTTCGATCTTAATCAAGAAAATCGTTTCGAGATGAGCTATTTACGGAGCACCAGCATTATCTGCTTTATATTATAAAACAGGAACTTTTGCCTTTCTCTCCTTTGCGCGGAAGTTAAATAAATCTACTTAAAAACTGATGAACATCAGCAAAAGATTGCTTCTATTATAATGTCGAAAAAAAAAATTAATGTTTTCTATTATTACGCATTTATATAAAACAATGACACATTTATATAAAACAATAATGATGATAATGACATAAAGCAATATTTTATCTTGTCTCTGATAATGATTTCGGCTTGCTTGTTAAATCTAAAGAGGAAACGATAGAATCGTGAAGTTTCTTTATCCTATGTTAAAAACTGTTCAAAGATTCGATCAAATATTCAAAAATTCCTTTTGTATCAAGCATATTAATTAGAAAATTTGATTATTTTCCATTTGATGTACATGCATACGGAAAATGAAGTTAGTTCGGGATAGACTTTGCAAACTTATCATGCAAAATTCTTACGCGGAAAGATGATGTTAACAAGTATTATAATTCCACGGATCTTTCTGTAGAAATTCTAGAAAGTTTTAGATCTTTCGTGCTTTGTATACTAAAAGCTTTCAAGTTAATATAGAAATACTGTAAGATCTTTTTCGTTACCTAGATCCCGACGTAATGGCGAGATTTTCGGATCCAAATTGGCATTCGTTCCTGCATTACGCAGTCTTCACTAAAAAGCGACGGATTCAGCCTAGTTTCTGAATGCTTATTTCGTTATCGTTGAAATGGAACCACATGCTTTTAGAATAGATTGCTTCTGTAATATTCCAGACTATTATTATGTTTATAGAAATACAAGTCACAGTGATATTACAACTAAAGGATACTTTCATATTTCTGTTACGCTTGACACAATATATTTTTGCATAACTGTCGCACAATATTGTAACAAACAAAATACACATTTTTGTAGCCATTTTCAATGACATCGACAAAATGCGGTTTCTTTCGCTTTAAGTTTTAATCTTATTAAAAATTCCACGAATTATTCGCGGCATGAATTATCTACCTCAAGTAAAGTGACAAGCAGTTACTTTATATAATCGCTGAACTAAACTGTGTCAGTCTGAACACGAGATGCAAGCGTAGTAAAATGGTTTTGACGCATTAAACTTCGATGTAAAAGCAAATGGAAAGTTTAAGTTTGCCAGCCGATGTCGAGTAGCCATCTTAAGAGTTTGAAATCAAATCTTAAAGCGTCCCACGATCTACTCTCTCTCTCGATAGCGAACATTAAAATTGAAACTAGACGAGCCGAAGTTACCTCATGAGTAGGAACGAAATGGCCTGACGAGGGTTGCTAAAACGTGTAGAAATCAGACGAAGACGGATCGGTCGGGCGTAGAAAGGATTCGAGAACACGAGCCACGTAATCTTTCCGAGCGTTTAAATAAACGACGTCGTTTGTACATCTCTCGAAGGACATGTATATAAATCGCGAGCACGATCTTTGGCCCGCTGAAAATAAAGTAGAGAGGAAAGTGGAAAAAGCTTTCGAGTGCGAGCGAGATGAAGTCGGGCGCGATTGCCGTCATTTCCTGGTGAAATTGCACCTTTGGTTGCAGCATTATTTTGTAAGTTATATCTATATCTCTAAACAACGTATCCCCGTAGGGATGCTAGCGGATATTTTTATTCAATATTCATTATATATAGAATTTTTCAATGTTTTTACAATATATTTTTCATCATTTTAATTCAAATCTATGAGATAAAACTTGGACAATTGTCAATAGAGAAAAAAATATAGTCGTAATTTTGATGAATATGTAAAATTTTCTGTAAAAAAGAAATAATTGTAATAACGTGGAATTAAAAAATATCAAATAAAGTTATTGCTAATAATAAATTAAAAGTCAGTTCAGAAATCTACTATTGTAGCTAATTACCGAAACGATACAACTAAAAATACAGTAGATACACAATATATTAAAAAATGAGAGTACACATTTTACAATTTGAGATAGAAATTATCGCACCTGATACAAAGAACAGTGAAAATGGCTGATTTGCTTAGATAAACAAACAGTGCAAATCGAACCGGTGAAGGAGAACGTGATGCGGCATTCTCCCATGAGAACTTCGGAAGGGCGCCGACAACGACGTCAATTATCGGACGACGAAAAGGGATGCGGTTCGTCGCACAAGATGCGACGAGAGACCTTTCTCTTCGATTTTTCCTTATTCCACGCGCGATCTACGGCGATAGCCTGTGGCGAGTAATGAAAGTCGAGGAATCACGAAATTTCCGATATTTCGCTCACGTTCGATTTATCTCTTTTCCTTCCATGCAAGATTCCCGACACAATATAGTCTTTGATGAGTTCTCGAGTCGCGCTCTGTAGATCTTGATGAAGGAGTGAAGATCCTCGTCAGCGTTTAAGGTAACTTTTCGTTTAAAGTGGTCGCGCGAACATGCCTGTATCTTGATTTACACGCGAGTGAATTAAAAAAAAAGAAAAAACCCGTATCGCTAAGCTTGTTTTAATTTGACGTATGTTTGCATAATTCGACAAAGGATAGAAGTATAACGGTGCATTATTTTTTTTTCTCTTATCTCTGATATTTCCTTCCGACCAGTAAAACACTATTTTATTAACATAGTGTCTTTTTTTTATTATTTTATACGTATTTATGTACCTCGGAGATTATATTGGATAAATTGAATATTTACATTTGCGAATAACCTGTGCAAAACGCATTACAACATCGTATATGTATAAT